ACACAAGGTTACAAGCTCTTGTGAAGTCACGCCTAGCCAGGGCTGATGGCGCCCAGCTGACTTCAGGAGGACAGGAGGAAGCTCTTAGCGCATCCGCAGATCTTGGCACAGTCATGGAGGGGCAGGTCTTGGTAAAGGACAAATTCAAAGAAAACCCCCAAAGCTTACGGTGGCCTCGGATGGCCTCCTTCAGGCCGACACTGCAGATGAGACCAGGAGGGAGAGCAAAGGGCTGAGAGTGGAGGAGGAGGGAAGGTTGGGGCGAGCCATTTATGGGCTGTGTCCCAGAGCCCTCGTGCCCTGTGACTCTGGGCTCCCAGCCAAACCAGCGTGACAAATATTCTGTCTGTGAAAAAAACACTGGGGGCCGAGAGCAGGGGGTGGGGGGCTGGCCGTTGGGCCAAGTGTGTCCAAATGGTGATACCCCACCACACATTCCCTGTCCTTCACTGCCAGCAGGTGGCAGGTGGGTCACTGGGCTGCGCTCTGCTCCCTGGGTTGAAGGACTTGGGGACCTGAGTGAGACCAGCCCCATGAGGGTCCCACAACAAAAGCAGGGCTGAGAGGCCACTCCCGACGGCCCCTAGGGAAGAGCTGTCACCATGGGGCTGCAGCCCAGGGTCACTTTGGACATGGCAGCAAGGTCAGCTGAATTCCTTTTGGACACAAGGGCCTACTCTGCCCTGACCTGGACCCGCTTCTCCTCCCACCAGCGCAGCGGTGGGGCCCTGGGGGGCCTTCCAACTGTCGCTTGGCAGAACCCTCGCTTTGCCTGCGGGCGGTTACACCTCTCACAGTTTCTGTTGTCCACGTTGTCCCTGCCCTCTGCTGGCCGAGATACCCTTACAACGATTGGCACCACCAAGACAGGGGTCAGACCCACGTCCAGGCAGGCAGGGCAAGCACCCCAAGGGACGCCACTGTGCTCTTTCTAATGAAGTCTCTGCCTCCCTCTATGTCCTGGGAAACGTGCAATGCATACCCTGTTACATGTCTCTAAGGGAGGTATAACTCCTGGGACCAGCAGATGGCATCATGGTCGCGTCACTGGACTCCCATGGAGTCGACTGCGGTTCGAGTTCCAGACCCGGAAGATTAAAACTCATGCCAGGTGCATGTGCGTGCGTGCCCAAGATCCCGAGAGGAGAATGGAGGAGAAGGGACTGTGGCGTGGCCAATCCCCCTGGGGGGGTGATTTCTTACTGTTTCTGTCTCTCTGGGGAGCACACACGCCTTATAGCAAAAAACTTTCTCTTTTTTTTTTTTTTTTCTTTTTTTGGAGAGGTTTTTGCTATAGGGCGCGTGCACTCGCCAGACAGAGACAGAGAGACAGAGAAAGCGAGAAATCACCTCCCGGGGGGATGGTCACGCCGCCACCCTTTCTGCAAATAGGACATGCCGCACTGGAGCAGGTCCTGGGGCAGCTGCCATGGAGCCCCAACCCGTGATCCCTAAATAGCACTGGGCAACAGAGAGGCTTCCCTGGAGGAAAGAAGACTAGGGCCAGGTAGAGCAGGCCTGGCTTCAAGTCCCAGCACCTCCGCTTGCCTCTGTGAGCTCCTCTGGTCTCAAGCCTCGCCGTCCCTGGCCCAGGAGCAAGTGCACTGCCTTATCAGCGGCCTTGCTCACCCGTGGCGCGCAGCAACAAGGGCCTGCAGGCTTAGAGGCGCGGCATGCCATCCCGTTAGTGATAACACCAGAGGCACGTCAGGGAGTTTGTGGGAAATGTGCATTTTGAAGAAACTATGCAGAGATTTCAAATTTCGTTTTGGGTACAGAATAAACTTGTACTAAGTCCCTGTCTCCACGAACTTTCTGAAGGCGCCTACATGTGCACTACCTGCGTGTGCACTTCTATGACGGCGGGTACGTCCATGCTCAGCCGTGCCAACGCACGTGCAAGGTGCTGTCCACACCGCAACACCCTGCAGCCCTGGCCGACGCATTCGCTGCTGTCATCCTGAGGGCCGTGGGCGTGGGGGCAGCAGGTGCCTCCGCCAACAGTGACACGCTCACCGTGCCCTCAGGCGGCACAGCACCCTCGGTGTGGGGACAGCTGAGCGCTGGCAGCCCCTCAGAGCTCGCGGAGCTGGGGCTCGGTCTCAAGTTCGGTTCCCGACAGGCAGGAGCGCTGTCACTGGGTGAGGCGCACAGAGGTAAGGAGACCTGCTGGGGTCCCACAGGCCTGAGCATGGGCCATGTCAGGGCACGGGCAGGGTGGCCACTCAGAATGCCCTGGGGCCGCCTTACAGTGCCATCCTGGTCCCCCACCCTGGCGAGGGCACCTAGGACAGCGTCCTGAAGCTCTGACGACAGCACGGCGGGACGCAGGGCTCGGACGGGCCAGCACTAAGAACCGGGCACCCTGTGTGGACTGCCACCTGAGGCCCTCCGTCCCTGGAGAGGAAGTGGAGAGGGTGCCGGTGGGTTTCCACGAGGGAGGGCAGAGTGCTTCTGGGGAGACACGCCCCCTCCCAGAGTCCTGGTGGGACTGTCACCCGAGCATGGCCCCTGGGCCCAGACCTGGCGCTGCCACCACCATGCAGGTGCCACAGTAGTCCCGGGACGAATCCCGAGGCAGACGCTGCACTTCACACACAGCCTCTCGCTCCCAGTGTCCACCGGCCAGGGGCTCCCACGGCCCCGGGAGGAAACCGGGCAGGCACAGTTGCCCGCCTGCACTCCACCTGCAGGGGGTCCGCGTCCCCCGTGCGGCACACACCCGTGCTGTGGGTTGCAGAGTCGGTGGCCTCTCCATGACACCCATTTTGGGGTCCCTCAGACACCTCTGCCGGAGTGTCTCCGATACCCCCCTCCTGCCTGCCTGCAGCTAGTTTTGGCTTGAAGGCTCATGTATTCTGACTTGGGGACAAAGGACTCTGATTGCTGGGGAGAGGGTAAAGCACACACCCTCCTTGGGGGCTTCCGCGTGGCCCCCGCCCCCCAACTCTCAGGGCAGAGATGGGTCCGGCCAGGCCCCTCCCTCACAGGGCATCTCAGCTGCACATCTGGGGACAGGACCACCCAGCCACTCACAGGAACCCCGGAGAGGAGTGCCCGCTGCCTCCCCCAGCAGCCCGAGAGGAGGAGGATTAAAGAGATTAGGGCACAGGAGCCACAGCACCTGAGCCGAGCCCTCCCCCAGCCAGGCCTGCATCCCTATCCCTGGGCCGATGGCGCCCTCTCGTGGCCAGCTCCCCACAGCTCCCCAGGCCTGCGCGTCCAGCCCGGGAAGATCACGCTACCCTGCTTGGCCGTGGCCATTCCCGTGTGTGTGTGTGTGTGTGTGTGTGTGTGTGTGTACACGCCCACTCGTGGCACGATGACACGAGAGGCCTAGTTAACTGGAGACTTTCCAGGGCACGTTATTCCGAGGTCTGAGGCAGCCCGTGATCGCTGTGCCGGGGTCTGTGGCACGGGCGGGAGAGTGACATTTAATACGCATCACCCAGGCAACAGCAAGGAGCCCGTGGGGGCTCCAGACCCAGCCCCACTGCGGTGCCACTCGGGGTCCCTCGTTTCTTGGCCTCGGTCCATCATCTGCAAATGCAGTGGTAACGACCCGGCCTCACAGGTGCCTGAAGATGCTGAGTGGCATACACATCTGCTTGACGTCACGGTGCAGCAAGGGCCGTCCGTGGGTCCAGGGGAGTCCCTGAGCAGGGTGTGACCTGCCATGAGCACGGTCGGCCCACCACCCCGGTACCGGCACGCAGGAGGGCCCATAGAACATGGCCACCCTGCAGAACCTGTCCCCCAGCACACAAGGGTTCACTGCGTTTGCATCTGCAGGGACTCTCCACGCCCTCCCGCCTCTCGGAAGGGAGAAAGCGTGTAATTCGAAGGTGGAGAATGCAAACCTACCCTCAGCGCCGCGCCGCCGTCTCGCCTGCACACGCATTAGAGCGCTGTAATCGCCGAGGCAGACCGTCACTGGAGCCGGTCAAAGACCACCGCAGGAACACGACGCGGACCACGCCTCCCACCACGTCCAAGGCTGGGCACAGGCGGGACTGTGCCAGCTCCTGCCTGCCTGTCTCCGGGAAATCCACAACGCCCAGCCACGGGGCATGGGGTCACTGCGGCTCTGGCCGACTGCGGCCACCCTGGCAGATGCAGGCTCCCCTTATTTTGGGGGTTTGCCACGACCTGCTGTTCATCACGTCTGGAGCAGGGGACCTGGGAGCACCACAGAGCATTGGTTGTTCGAGGTCCTAGGGCAGCTGTGGGAACACCACGGGGGGTTAGGGCGGCCACTTGGGGTTGAGCGCCCACAAGGGGACTCGCCCAAGGAAGCGGGCCCTGCCTTTCCCGCGAGGCCGCCCTGCCGGAGCCAGCTCCTCCAGCAAGGAGACAAGGGCACCACGGTTCCCTCCACACAGGCTGCCTCCTGGCTCCGGCCCCAACACCGGGGAGGGCTGCTGATCCTGCCAGCCCAGCCTCTAGGCCCCCCGTCTGAAAACAGCCAGTCTGGCCTGGGAACCCACTCACTGCACAGCCTTCTCAGTCCTGGGGCTCAGGCGGCAGTCCCATCCCTGGCTCCTGAGCCCCAGGGCCCAGGCCTGGCCGTTCAGACCCCTGTATCCCCCAGCCACGCTGACAGTTCACAGAGCCTGTGAGCCTGCCTGCATCCTGGGAGCTCAGAGCTTGAAGGGGCTGACGGTGCTGGAGGCATCCAGAGGGAAGGCCTGCCTGGGCACGAGGCCATGCGGTGGGGCCGGAGCTAGCCCACCCTCACCCTCGCCCCGCCCCCGCCGCTCCCTGTGGGGCTCCAGCTGCTCTGTGTGCAGTTTCCCTGCAGCCACGGGCCCTCGGGCCCTCCATGCTGACCAAGCACCTGTGGCCCTGGCCCCTGGGCAGCTGCGCCTGAGCCTGCAGCCTCTCCATAGCCGCTCCCCGGCGGCCTGCCTGAGCTCCTCCGGCCCTGTCCTCGTCGGCTCCGCCTCCGTCGGCCCAGGCCTGGCATCCACTGTCACAGCTCTGAGCCCACGCGTTCATACTGCAAAGGCCTCGGCCTCCGGCAAGCCCAGAAACCCCAGTCCCTCGACTTGCTGGGACTGGTCCCACCGCATGTGAAGCGGGTGACACTGATGTCACTTCCTGTGGTCACCAGAAGGCACCTCTGAGGACCCCGGCTCCACCCTCACAAGCGTTTTCCAAACTCCTATGTAAGGACCTCCTGCCTCCCCACAGCAGGGGTGAGCCACCTGCACAGGGGCTGCCCCTCCCAGGCGTGAGCTGGACCCCAGGGCCCTGCGGGTTCCCGCTGCGGCTCCTCACCACCACTAAAGCCTGCTGACGGCGTCACGCCACCCTCTGCATCAAGCCCTGGCCCACGAACCTCCTCGCTGACCACGTGGGTCCTTGCCCAGGCCCTCCGGGCCGCACGCCCCACCCCAGGGCCAGTCCACCTGCTGTGTCCTCCACCTGCCAGGCTAACCCACCACCTCTTCCCCTTCAGACAGGTCAGATCCAGCAACCCCACCTCTCCTCGGCCTAGTTAGACCTCTATCACCCCATGTACCCCAGTTCCCACGTCCTGCCATCACAGCTGGGACACCACGGCCACCACACAGGCAGAGAGACATGGAGGGGAGGACAGCCAGGTCAGCTCTCAAACTGCAGAGGCAGAAGGCAGCTCAGCCAAGCCTCGCTCTGCTGAGCGCATGCTGGCTTACGAGGGCAAAGGCAGGGAGTGGAGCCAGGCCTGGCGAGGGGACCCCGGACCGGGCCAGAGTGGTGGAAGGCAGGCAGGCACTAACTCTTCCTCCCTCTACCCACGGAGGTGGGGCTACCTCCCCACCCCGACTGGGGGCCAGCCGGCAACTGGAGAGCGAACGTAAGACCGTGCCAACTTGGGGCCAAGCCCTAAGGAGCTGGGAAGCCCTGACCTACCACACAGGAAGTTCTCCCGCCAGAGAGCCCATCCAGGGCAAGCCAGGCCCCAAGACTGCACGGAGCTAGGGAGAGAAAGGCCTGCCTTTCAGCCGTCTCCACCGAGGCACCAGCAGGGTGAGCGAGCAGGCAGGCCGTCCAGCGTAGATGAGACTCAGCCCACTGCAGCCCAGCCCACCACTGGGAGCAGAAGAACCACCCAGCTGAGCCCAGCCAGCCCAGAGGCACGGCAGTGAAAGGCAGCTGTTCTGAGCTGCTAAATTTGGGGCCAGCTTATTGCACAGAAATAGACCACTGAAACCCCCCTCGAACTGGAACACCACCCCCAACCCAGAGAACGCAGTTCCTCTCTTCCCCGAGGATGGCAGATGGTCCCAGCTCACAGACCACAGCCAGGTAACGAAGGCCTCCAGGACCACGATCCCAGAAGAGAGGCTCATTGGCCCACCCTGGCTCGGGTTCCAGCCAGTGACCAGCCAGCTGAGGCAGGGAGCAGGGTTACCCTGAATCAGCAGCTGCTCCCCAGCCCTCTCCCCACCCCGTGCAGAGGGGAGAGGAGTGGATGACCTCGAAGAAAGGTCATTCTTTTTTGGCTTGTGGCCAAACAATCCCATTGGGGATGTGGGGGGGAGCCTCCTGGGGTAGCAGAAAACCCCTGGCCCAGGGAATGTGCTCAGTGAACAGCTGATGAGGATGCTGGTGACAACCAGGGGGGCTGTGCCACGGGGAAGTTGCTCCGGGAGCTGTGCTGGGTGCAGTGGTGGCTGCGGGGTACTGTCGGGTGGAGGGCCATTATTCTGCCTCCTCGCACTGCCTCAGGGGAGATCTCGCAGGATGCGCTGAAGGTCCTGGCGGGGGCTCTGGCCACACTAAACACGCCCCATTAAACCAGCCTGGATCCGGAAAATCACCGTGTCCCCTCTGAGAGTCCAAAGGAGCATGGTCCAGAGTGTCTGGGGAGGCGGGTAGGATCTCAGGGCGAGGCTGGGGCCAGTCCCCAATGGGGGCTTGAGGACCTGTGCTCGAGGTGGGCACAGAGCCACCGGTGCAGGACACCACAGACAGGACTCCAATGGGCGCTGGAGGGCAGGGCACCCAGTGTCAGTGGGCTTAGGCTGGGACCCTTCCCATCCCCCTCTCTCAGTCACCCCAGGCTCCCAGAGCCCTGCGACCACCTACACCCCCCTCGCTTTCTCGGGCTGCGGTGAAGGTGACGGGACCACAGCTGTGGCGGCAGAGACAACGGTGCCCCGTGTGCCAGCGCCCACGGCCTGATGGGGCTTGTGCACCGGACGTGTTTGGAGCCCGAAGGACTGAGCGAGGCTTATCTGGCACCTCTGTTCTCATTCTCGGACCGCTCCTGCTTCTGAAGCCCTGTGGGCCTGGACTCGAGACCCATCCCTCCACCATTCAGACGCCCGGTTTTCCCACCTGTGAAACAGGGTTGGGGACTCGAGCCTGTGCTGAGCCGGGCTCCTGCGAGAGTGACCTGAGATCACAAAATGAATGCACCTAAAAGGCAGCCCACCTGCTCTGTCACCACACCACCGCTGGGGTGCCCCGCGACCGCCCACCGACCCTCGTCCACACTGCTGGTCCGCAAATCACCACGCTGCTTCAGCCCCGCTCAGGGCGCAAGTTCTCACATTTAATTGTTTTTCTCGGGGAACAGGGATCAGAGAAGAAATTCACAGCACTGAGTCAGACAGGGATAACTACAAAAATAGGAATATATTCAGCTTTTGACTGGGAGAGATGCAAAGGCAGTCCTCTCGCCCCGCGCTCACTAGTACACACAGCTTCCGGCTCACACACGCACCGCCACACGCTGTCACACGCTCCCGACAGGCGCACTGGGGCTGGCAGGAGGCCGCGGCCTGGGGCGGTCCTAGGGCTGGCCCTCACAGGCCCCTCTCCCCACGAGGGCAGAGCT